CCCCAAAACCCCAAAACCCCAAAACCCCAATCCCCAAAACCCCAAAACCCCAAAACCCCGTCTTGAATTATATTTATTGGGAGCTTTGATTTCTAAATCACAAATAAAATATGATATTAAACCTTATTTATACTATCGGTAAATACCTAGGTCTCTTTGGCCTAGCTTATTTCATTTATGTGCTATACTGTGTGCTAGTGGTACCTTACTTGTTCTGGAGAAAGTATCGCAAGTATCCTAATGTGAAGACACAAGAAAATTTTGCCCCTGTCATTGGCGATATTGTGAACGAGGTTACTTTAGTGAAGCAGGGCAAGGTACATTATGAATACAGAAAGGATCTTGGTAAAGAACTTGAGAAATATGATATTAGAGCAAAGCTTGATTGGTGGAATCCTTGATTTATGATTTTGAGCAACCGAGCTCTTGAAGAAGTCATCCAACTTCAGAAATCATGTGTTGATAAGCAATATGTCAGTTATGGTCTTTCAGCCATGATACCTCATGGTTTTGGAATTCAGAAGACTAATACAAAAACGATTCAGAGAAGGAAGAATGTTACGACCTGGCTTGGTCTGAACGGTGCTTCAAAATTTATTCCTCATATGGTCGAATGTTGCGAATCAATTTTGGACAATATGGAGGAGGAAGGAACAATAGATCTTATGCACGAGATGAACTCACTTACATTCAATGTATTCGTAAAGATCATGCTTGGAGATGATATTAATAAGCTTGAATCAACTTTGTATCCATATACAAATCCTGATGGAAAAGTAGAGAACATCACTCTAAAAGAAATGCTGATCAGGCTGACAAATGCCTACGTGCAGCATTATATCAATCCACTAACTTTCCTAATGCCTTTTTTGAACGAGTACCATCTTGTGAACCCCTATAAGAGGGATTATAAAAACAATCAGTTGTTCAAGAAGTACATCAAAGAAGTAGTTGAATCTTCAGATAACAAGGACTCTATCGGGAAGAAGTTCCTCAATAATGAAGATTGCACTCCAGAGCAGAGACTTGATGACATGATTGCAATTATGGTTGCAGGAACAGAGACAACTTCTCATTCCTTAGTGTCTTGCTTGTACTACCTTGACAAGCATCCTGACATTAAAGAAAAACTCAAGAAAGAACTTGAGAAGGAAGGCTTCACCAAAGGAGAAGGATTTTTAGCCTCTATTGGTGTTGACAGTATCCAGAATTGTACCTATCTAAACTGTGTTATCAAGGAAACTCTCAGATGCGATACTGTTATTCAAGATTCATTTGATTATGAATGTAGTAAAGATACCACCATCTGTGGTGTTCCAATTCCTAAGGGGAGCCACTTCAGAGTTGACTTAGTCTCCTCACATTATGATGATAAAAAGTGGCTTCAGCCAAAAGAATTCATTCCTGAAAGATTTGATTTTGAGTCTGAATTTTATAAATAAATCAAAAGAGCTCGGACTAACTGGTGGCGTATATTCCAGAAGAAGCTTCGGGCATGGAAATAGAGCTTGTCCAGGCCAAAGCTTCGCTCTACTGGAGATGAAGATTGCTATAGCTTATTTCACTCTCCATTTAGAATACAACTTTTCTGAAGAGGATCTTTCAAAAGATGGAATAGGATTTGCATTAATGTCGCAATTTAACCCTAAAGTTGCGTGCAAAAGAAAATAATAAATAATTGGTTCAGATTCGCTCAATATTAGATTCATGAAAAGGGGTTTTGGGGTTTTGGGGTTTTGGGGTTTTGGGGTTTTGGGG